GGCACGGTGTGCCTCTTGAAAGTTATTAAAACTAATCATCTAAAAGATACCACTTTCGAAAACAAATAAAAAAAGTATTATATTAACATTCTTAACATGCTTGTTACGACATATTTCTTTTATTGTGTTATTTTCTAAAGTATATTGTGATATCTTATATCACAAAAATCGAACTTTTGCGGACATGTATATTTATTAAGACCTTTTTGCTTATTTTTTATTATAGGATTTATCCTGTAAGTTTGTCTAAAGTTCAAATATATTCTGTGTGTGTACGTGTATGCGTGCGTACGTGCGGGCATGCATGCGTGTGTGTGTGCGTGCGTGCGTGCGTATGTTGTATGGCAGGTCGTATCAATTGCAGTCTATGTTGTCACCGAATCCTGTTATAGCAACTGTGCTACTTTATAATTTTGATTTCTGCCAGAGATACCTAGCGACTTACGTCAATGTGCATGGTATAGTGCATGGCCATATTATTTTATGTTTTTATGCTAAAGCCGCGAGGATGAGGGTCGCCGCAGGAGATTTAAGAGACGAGAGGGTGATGAGGCGGGTGGAGGGGGGGATAACGAAGATCCTATTGCTGAGGAGGACGGGTACGGAGCGTTTTGCAGTCACGCGCAAAGTGAGGAGATCTACCAGGACCTTTGTAGCCTGCATTTGCCACCTCCTCCGTCCGTTGTGCAGGTCATCATCTCATCTTTATTTAGTTATCAACGCTCTTTTATCACATTCGTGTATAGAGTATGTCCCTGAGCTTTATTCCCTTTCCTTATATATGAGAAATTATAAAAATTTTACAGTTAATAAAAAATGAGACTGGCCAAGAGCATCTTATATTAAGAAGCGAAAAATCTGCATGAATTTATTAAATGTTGAATTTGTTATTAAGAAAAGAAAACAAGTTCAAGCAAATTCGTTTTCTTTATTTTTTATATGCATCTCGATAAATTATTGATTTTATTATGCACTATGCAATATGCTTCACACATTGTAAATCAAACTATAGTGAAAATATGTAATGAATAATGCGAAAAACTTTTTTTATTGAATTAATTTTCTATCCGACAGGGCGGTGCCATTACTGGAGGTGAAAAACGAGATTATGTGATCCAGGAACTTGTAGAGACCGAGCGGAACTATTCAGAAGTATTAAGTAGTCTACTTAGGCATTTTGCTAGGCCATTATCGTCGTTGTTGCGACCCGAGGACAACGTTCGCATTTTCTTTGGCATTAAGGAACTCTCGGAGATCCATGTTGGCTTCCATAGTCAGTTACGTAAGGCGCGTAGTGGTGCTGCGTTGGCTCATGTGTTTTTGGACTGGCGAGAGAAATTTCTTATTTATGGCGATTATTGCGCTAATCTCACTCTCGCGCAGAACACGCTGCAGGAAGCTTGTGCTCGCAACGAAGTGCTCAATCAGGAAGTTATCGTGAGTTCCATAATAGTGAAAAAGGGAGGAAGGGGGAAATAAGAAATTAGAAATTTCTTCCCTATACATTTAAAATCAAAGTTGTTTTCTAACAAGAAATTTATTTATTTATGTATCTTTTTCAGAGGTGTCAACAAGAAGCTAACAATGGTAAATTTAAACTGCGCGATATATTGTCCGTGCCGATGCAGAGAGTACTCAAATACCACTTACTGCTGGACAAACTTGTTGAAGAGACACCTCGCGAATGGGTCGAGGACTACCGACAGTTGGCAAAAGCAAGGGAAGTGATGGTTGACGTCGCTCAATATATAAATGAAGTGAAACGTGATTCTGACACGTTGGACATTATAAAAGATATTCAAGCATCCATAATTGATTGGGATGTTCCTGAAGACACACAGCTCAAGGATTTTGGTCGGTTGCTTAGGGATGGCGAACTTAAGGTTTGCATAATATAGTCCTGAAGGAAAGTGAAAAATTTTAGAGCTGGTATACGAAATTTAATTGATCGTCTAGCTCGAATTTTTTTTCTATATTACAATTTGAATTATAAGTTTTTGTAGTTGAGCTAGTAGTTTTTACATGTTTTTATATATATTATCTATTAGATTTTAAAGATAGTTTTTAATTGTTACTGATTTAATTTTTTTTACAGGTGAAAGCTCACGGCGATCAACGAATCAAAGCTCGTTACGCTTTTATTTTTGAACAAGTTGTATTGATTTGCAAAGCTGGCAGAGGAGACCAATACTGTTATCGGGAAACTTTGCGGTTAGATGATTACAGATTAGAGGATCACATAGGACGTCGGACATTGGGTAGAGACTCGCGTTGGTCTTACCAGTGGCTACTTGTACATAAACAAGCATATACAGCGTATACTCTGTATGCAAGAACAGAGGAACAAAAGCAAATATGGATAAAAGCGTTGCAAGACGCTATAGACAATGTCAACCCCGCCGCTTGTCGCAGTACCAATCACAAATTCAAACTGACAACATTCGATACACCTAGAAGTTGTCACCGTTGTGGAAGATTTCTCAAAGGTTGCATATTCCAGGTAAAATAAAAATATAAGTTTATTTGTTTTCTCATCTGAATAAAATTAAGATTGAATAATAACTAATCGTTATTCGATTAAAAGTTAAGAAGTTAATAACAATATTTTTAACATGTGATTAATTTTAAATCAGTCAACTTTTAAACTAAACTTATTATTTTTATATATATTAATTTTATCTTGTTAAAGCTTCCATTTCCTCGCTGCAACTATCTTGAATAATTACGTCAGAAGCGAGGAAATTTATGCTTAAAATTTATAGGTTATGTCGAAATAAAAAGAATACGTCCATAAAATAATATTTGTAACCGATTAAACATATTTTTAAAATGCCGCTCTTTTCTAAAAACTTCTCTTTTGTTAAAACAATCAATACATAAGTAAAAAATTAATGATAAAATTAGAAGAAAAGATAGATCACGTGCATACAAAAGGAGGAAAATTGCATATCATTAATTTTATGATTTTTATTTTATAATTATTTATTAATTATTTATTTTATGATGTTAATTTTATGATTATTTTATAATCATTTATTCATTAATTATTTTATGTTTATTGATTGTTAACCCTTTCGATACGGCTATGTCGTTTGCGAGTATGCTTCTGCTGTACAGATACTCGAATCGCGAATGTTTTATTATACGGGCCAGTTACAACGTACATTTTACTGTGAAGTGAGTATAATATTTGATATTCAGTAAAATAATGTAAATTATAGATAAATTGTTCATAAAGGATGAAATATTACAATGTAATATATTTTAAATTATTCAGATTTAAAAAATTGTTTAATAATATAATTTAATAATATATTTCGACGATGAATGACTATAGTCACCCGTAGGACATAATGAGTGTGCGATGATGGATGACTATAGTCACTCGTAGTATCGAAAGGGTTAAAGCAAAAGGAAAGTTTTGGGAATATTTTAGAAATATGTTCAATTGATTGTCATTTTATGAATATCTTTTTATTTATCGAACGTAATCCATAAGAATTTTTAATATTTATTAATTTTTAATATTAAGATTTCTTTGCTTCTGATGTCGTCAATAAAAATTCCGCGACTAAGGCCTAAGAATTTTAAAAGAGATATTTGAAACTAAAGTAATTTTATTTGTAATATAGATTAAAGAGATAATTGATTTTTTACAAATATTTATTTAAAGCTTTCAAAGTTTAAAACATTTTTTTAAACTTTAAAAGTTTAAGAAAAATTCTTAAAGGAAACATGTAACGTTTATTTCAAACTTTTTTTCATATTTTGTATTAAAAAAATTTAAGTGTTTTTTACTTTGAAAAATTTAGAACGAAAATGAAATATGTTAAAACTAATTACAAATCATTGTAATAAATATTCAAAATATTTTCCATATATTTGTAAGTATTGTAAAATTTGTAAAATGATTAAGAAATTCCACGCAAGATGACATAGCGGTCGTAGAACGCTGATAAAACGACTTAAACTCACAAGGAGAGGATGCATCGATCGGGAAACGGTTTGGAACGAAACTTACGGAGTTAATAGTACTTGACTACTAATAACTCATGGTAATAGCATACGACGCAATTCCTCTTCGTTTTCGAGAAAAAACGGTTTAAAGAAAAGAACCAACAAAGTGTACGAATTAGTAAGAAGGGTATTCAACGAAGCGGCGTAGCGCAACAGCAAAGGTAACGGACTACCGAGCTGACAGCTGAGGTTCGATCCCTGCTGTATGATTTTTTTTTATTCTGTAAGCATAAAAATGAAACAGAAAACATTAATAAATAATAAAACTGCCTTTCTTAAATATATTAGTGTTTATTAAATATATTATTAATGATTTAAATTGCAAAAAAACCGTAAATCTTATCTATAAAATATATAATGTATGAGAAAGTTTTTATATAATAATTGTAATGGAAATAGGAGTAAAAATATATTTTCGCTAGAGATTTTTTGATAATAATTCATTATTCTCGTAAATAGAATTCGCATATACGAGAGCATTAGTGAATTCACCTTTAAAATTTTCATTTTCAAAACATCTTTCTTCTAGCGATTCTGCATCAACTATTTTGCTTGTTTAATGATTCTCTGACATTGTTATGATATATATAATTTAAATATGATCACCGAATTGCTCTGTATCACTAGTAAACGCATACTGCTGCTTGCTCTACTGACTGTTCCGACGCTCGAATCATTTCGTCATTCCTAACGATCGTTTAGAATGACACAAAGGAAGTTTTTGGAGGGAGATTGCCAGAAGAGATAAAGAGCTTCAACACAACGTAAAGAGTTGTAATAGAAACAAATATTTTATATACAGGGTGTCTTATAACTAATCTGGCAGAGCTCGTGGAGACAGAGCGGGTTAAGACAAATATAAAAGTCCCATACCGTTTTGTGAGATTCGCAATAATTATCGAGTTATTAATGACAGAAATCTGAGAAATGAGTGCACGTCGAGACGTTATGGGAGGAGCATCTAGCCGCTCAGGCTAAAGAGCACTGCCCAGTCGACAAAAGAACTATTGCCGGCGCGCGGCGAGAGGAAGGACGACGCACCAATGTTTATGTCCTTACCTCGCCGCTCCTATATCCCACCGCACCGCGTCTAACAAGGAGATGACGCAACCTGTTTCATCGATTTCAACACGAGTCATAGCACACTCGATAGCTATGATGCCGTGTATAAACGCCCTGTATAAACGCCGTGTATAAACATAATATGCGTGAATGCGTTTTTGTTTACGAGTAATTTGCAGTTAAAGTTTGGCTCGCGGAGCCGTGTCACACATAGGGCGCAAGTTACGACACTCTTTCACGAAGCCGGCGTGGCTGAGCAGACAGAGGCTCTCGCGCCGCGAACACTTTTGCGCCGGCGACGGCGTTCGAGTCCCGCCGACGAATGGTTCGTTTTTTTTTTCGTATGTAAAGACATGTAATAAATATTTTTATATTATTCTTATGTATAATTCCTTTTTTTGTTTCTACGCTATTAATCAAGGCTAATTAGGAGAGTCAGGTCTTTCAAATATGAACACAACTTTTTTATTAATTACAATAAAATGTTTTTGTCCGTATCAAAACACATACACATACACACATAAGACAAATATAAGGCACACAAATGAAAGTTACGTATTATAAAATGTGGTCATGCTGTCGCAATTCTGCGGATGGAATGCCGTATAAAAGCATATAAAACATAATAGTTTTTTGCACCAACTGCACGTAATGAACGCATAATTTTTGCACAAATACACTTTTGACTATGTATAGTTGGTGGAAAACATATTTGATTGACGTTGTAAAATACCTCGCGACTGTCAACAAGACTGGACGGAAATTGGATCAGGACATCTACAAATATGAATTCAATATAATTGATATTGTATACAAGGCCAATAACAATATGTACAAATATATCTTTCCATTGCTCACACATTCAATATATTGGGTGAGTGCAAAAGTTCGTGCGGAGTTTGTGAGTAAAAGTCACACAGTGATTAAGCAAACAAAAATCTTTATTCAATCAATGATATATTCTCCATCGTTTTCTATAATCTTTTCCCAACGTTCTGGCAGCATACGGATGCCTCGATCATAAAAACTGCGCGGTTTAGATTCGAAGAACGAAGAGACGCCGTTTTTTAAGGCCTTCAAAGAGTCAAAGTTTTTTCCATTTAAATAATTTTGCAATGACCGGAACAAGTGATAGTCAGATGGTGCGATATCAGGAGAATACGGTGGATGCGTTAAGATATCCCATTTCAGGCTCTTCAGTTTGCGCAGCGTCTTTTTCGAAACGTGTGGTCTGGCGTTGTCGTGATGAAAGACGACTCCCTTGCGATTTGACAAAATCGGACGTTTCTCTTTTATTTCTCGATTGGTTAATTGGCGACAGTACTTGTCCGAATCAATCGTTTCGCCAGCGGGGAGAAGCTCGAAATAGATTATGCCCTTGCATCCCACCAAACAGAGAGCATCACCTTCATCGGGTGCAAACTGGCCTTTGGCATTGCGTCACCATGCTCACCTGATTGTTTCCATGTCCGTTTGCGCTGAACATTGTTGTAGAGGACCCATTTCTCATCGCCCGTCACTAGTCGATCCAAAAACGACTCGTTATTGAGCCGCCCGAGTAAAGAAACGGCTGCAGAAATTCGCTTGATTTTGTTCTTCTCGGTCAGCAAATGGGGCACCCATATATCGAGCTTCAAATCGAATCCCATCTTTTTTAAACGCCGAAAAGCGGTTGATCGGTCAACGTCTAGTGCTGTAGCAACTTCTTCTGTTGAAATTCGCGGATTATTGAGCACTAAAGTACGCAAAACATCGTCATCAATGTCAGAAGGTCGACCAGAGCGTGGCTCGTCTTCAAGGTTAAATTCTCCGCGCCGAAATTTAGCAAACCATTTTTCCACAGTTCGTTTAGCTGGTGCTTCATCCTGATAAACATCCTGAATGTTTTTTACGGCTGCGGCAACGTTTATTCCCTTCCGAAACTCGTAAAACATAACATGCCGTAAATGCACCTTATCGATACTCATTTTTAAAGTTATATTTCTCGAAGCAGTTTGTATGAAAACAAATGATTTTTTTTTTAATAACAGCTGAAGACGTCACCTTTCCAACGTTATATAATATGTAGATGGAAGTATTAATGACAACACTTTACGACGCTTATAACTCCATCTATTGAAACTCCGCACGAACTTTTGCACTCACCCAATATTTACCTCGAAGATATTCTATTGCGTCCGTCAACTCTTCTTTCGTAATATCACATTTTGCTAGATTTTGCACATAGCTGATCGTTGCTTCATCTACAAACGTGGTTTCCATTTTTAACACGAGTTTTTCACTGTTCACGTTACGAAGATTGCCTAGAGAATGAAGCGAGCACGTCACAAAACATGAGAATCCGTCTGCGAGAAGGGGAAAGGGAAGAGGGTTCCTTTCCACTTGTAACGGTTCTAACGGCTCTCGGGTTTCTCTCACACA